ACAAAAGAGGACCTGCATAAATAAAAATTGCAAAAGCAGAATCAGCTCAGAAGTGGATGGCATAACTTGAGTTGGATGATAATTTCCCCTCCCCAGCTGTCTATCCTTTCTAAAATCTTCAGCCAACAGGTCGTTGAGCTGGTCACAAATCACCTTTAAGCTGGCTCCACAGCACAGAATGTCACTTTGACATGAAGTCAGCTGAATGTCTCAGTTCAGCCTCAGCAGCTGTCTCAAGCTATAATTTTTCTACTACTATATTGCGTCATTTTGGCTGATTCAGAGGCACTGCCAATGGATGTAATGACCCAAGGTGATACTGTCCTCTCCTGAAGTTACTGCATCTACAACTTTGCTGCCAGAACAAATTATCTGCAAACTCCTAAGCTATTTCATGCAAATGTATGTTGATTAGCTCAAGTTACACTCAATAGCATTTCAAGCTGTTGGCTGACATTGCATTGAGTGAACAGGGGAGTTTTCTCATTGTCTGTTCTGACTCAGCAGCAAGGGCAAGAAACTTAATTGAAGTCTAGTAAACTAATAGTTTAGAAAACCAGAAGCATCAAATCTACAAAAGATTACTTTGCAATTGTCGGAGCGTTGGTTGGTAGGATGGTCGGGACGGATGGAGACGAGAGGTCTCTGAGGTCAGGTCTTGGAACTTGCAGTTTATTACAAAAGGCGTATGTGCAGGGGTCCTGCTTAGGGCTGCTAGCCACAGCTCCGAGTAGGCCCAAAAGAGCAAGAGAGAGAGAGAGAGAGAGGCAAGAGCCAGAGAGGGCAAGAGTAAGAGTAAGAGTAAGAGAGCGAAGTTCCCATTACAATACAATAAACCTTCTTCTGTGCTGAATATTCTAATTTTCACTAACCGATCTAGTACCAGATAGAAATCCTATAGCATTTACATACAACCTATAAGAATCACGACATGACCATACTGTGTTACATTTTAAACCCTAAAAACTACTTTTTGGACCCCTTCTGCCAAGCTAGTAGGGTCTGCTCTGACCCTTGGACCTGTCTGCAAACTAGAGGGTATTGTTTCATCAAAAGCGGATTACCGTCAGCCAGCCATACCATTGTTTTCCAGTTGTTCAGTAACAACTTGGTGTCTCAAAGCTTGCTTTCATTTCAATCTTGCTTATAGTTTCTATATTCTCAAAATCTTTTGCCAGACAATCATATTTATAAGGCTTTCCTGTTTCATATTCCCCAACAGCAATAATTTTTCTACTTGTAGCCTGAAATGGTGCTTTAGAATTTGTAGGATAAACGAACTGGTTTTGTTGCCCAAGAACACAGGGTTCAACCAAGTTCTTCCACAAGGCTTCTTTATCAGTGGAGAAACACACCTTTTCTCAAGATACTTTACTTCTCTGAAGAATAGATTAAAATTTTTTCTCTTTCTGTACCCTCAGAAAAGTGATTCCCCACAGCAGATGATGGCATCTTACTTTCCTATCATATAAGAGACATACTACATCAAAAATAAAGATTTAAACTGTGCTGAGCATTTCTATTCACAGATTCCATAAAGGATATTTCTCGAGAGATCTCATAGACCACTTTGCTCACTACACACACAGGCTAAAGAATCTGCTGTCACTCTCAACTCATGCACACTCCAGGGAATTTTTATAGCCAAAACACACTTGCACTTCAGTTACATAAGCAACATCTGCATTATTCATATAGAGAGATTTAAAGACTACTTATTATGGTGACATTAATTAAAAATGATAAAGAAAAGGCACATATCTGCCAAGAATGAGCTACCCATGAATGTGACAATGTGTAAAAGGAGAATTATTATGGCATACATTCATAAATATGACCCATGAGTCCAGCAAATCCTGGAATTTAGATTCCTTTGTACTTTAAAAACACCTAAGCCTCACAGTGTAGGCAGTATGTGTAAGTTTGTTGCTTCTATATTAAGAGCAGGTAAACGTGAAGAAACAGGTGGTTTGGAGTCATTTAGATACAGTCAGTTAATCTCAAAGGAGGGAAAAAGAAGAAAGCCTCCAGACTTTGATTTTCAAGTTCTATTTAGACTATTAGTTTTGGCTTCACTGAAATTGATGGCAATATGATTTTAACCACTCTTAACAAGACAGCTGTTTTGCTTTTACACTTTGTCCAAGCTTACACATGATTTTGGGAGCCAATGACTTTTTATCCACAAGCCTCTTTCCCCCCTTCTTTGTTCTAAAATGATCAAATGGGAACATTTTTATTTCACTATGTGGTTAAGAAAAGTTTTTGCTTTCTCAAATTTGCCTGAAATTGGTCAGAGGATATCTTGAGGATCTGTTCAGTGATGTATGGCTCCCCTGAATGACATTCCCTATTTGGGTAGGCAGCAGTGATTTGTTGTCCATGACCACAACCATCTTCCAGCTCAAACACATCCTCCATTTCATCTCTGCTCGATCTCTGACTGACCTTAAAATTATCACATCAATGTTCATTTAGACTTGATTATAAGTGGTAGCAGCTGTTAATCTCTCTTCTGTAATAACTATTCCACAATGGCTGGCTTGCATAGATGGTTTTTATTTCACATGTGGGGTGACTTTGTGCAGCTTAGTTGAGTCTGAGGGGAATCGAGCTAAACTGCAAAAAAGCATTTTTAGAGTAGAAAAAGTATCCACAAGCCAAGTCAGTGCAGAATAGCTTTTGCACTTTAAATTCACACCTCAGTTTATTTTACAATAGCTTCACTTAACAAGTACTTAACAAAAGAGACAAGGAGGGGTGTGTGTGTGTGTGTGTGTGTGTGTGTGTGCGTGTGCACGACTATAAAGGTTAAACAGCAAACTACAAATAATTGCTGCAACCGCCTCCAGGATAACCTTGTTTGCAGAAGAAACACAGCCACCCTGTGCCAGGCAAGAGAAAATGGAGTTGTGCAGAGACTTTGAAATACTATTTTATGTGTTTAGGTTAAGGGTCTTGGTTTTTGGTGTTTTTTTGTACTTTTATCAAACACCAGAAATTGTATTGCCGTTATATTATATAATACAGGTGTAAAAATACATGTGCCAATATACAACGTATTTTTGTCTTTCCCCACTTTCAATTATTACTAGTCATTGAGATACACAACTTCAAAATAAACAGGAAGTTCTCCAGTAATGCATTTCATAATATTGTCCTATTTGCTTATGTAGTGACCTGTGACATTGTTTTCTAAAAGAATTATTATTGTAATTGTGCTGCTCTTTTCTTGCATAAGTAGGAGGCAAGTCACTGCTCATTCTTTTGAACACAGGCCTCCTACTCACAAGATGTGTCCATTTGAAACTCTGAAGATGATTTCAACCCTGATGACTTGCTTTCAGTGCATTACACCTGCAATGAGGTCAGACGATACAAGTTGGGGGAAAAAAACGTATGGAAGTATAAATCCCCTTATTAATATACTTAATTTTTCCCCCTCTAGACCATTCCAGTTCCAATTATGTTATTTCAACTAATGTGAAATGCAAAGTTTTGTATATTATGGTGGATCAAACATAAATCATTCACTTAAACCTGTATTACAGTGCTATGGGTCAAGCTACAACAGAAAGGTTTTGACTGCCTTAATGTGAGAGTCAGAGTACAAAGTCATCAGAATCATCAGTCTGGAAGAGTTTTTCCATGCTGAAGTAGTCACTTCAGGCTCCAAAGTAATTCCCACCAGTTCAGTGGCCACTTCACAGACCTGTCTGTCCTTGTAGCACAGTGAATCACTACAATATAGGGCAAATACACAGAGTAATCATGTCAGACAGTACCAGGACCTAAGCCTCATTCCAGGAAAGCTCTGGATCTTGCTACAACATGTTTTTTAGAGAAAAAAAAATCTTCATCCATATTCAAGCACAGAAATAGCACGTATATAGTAAATACATTATATTGCACACAACAGCAACTTCAGTGAAATTTTAGGAATAGCTACCAAACAACCTTATCGCAGCAATGAACAGAATGTCATCCACTGGAACATGAGAGGAGCAAACATGTCCCAGTATTACACAAAGAAATCGTGCCCTCAAAAATTGTAAATGCCTTCTCCCAGTACCTCAGTTTGATAAGGCCAAGTGCCGAATCCTGCACTTGGATTACAGCAACTCCATGAAGCACTACAGGTCTGGGGAAGAGTGACTGGAGGAAAAGGATCTGGGGAGGCTGGTTGGCAGCGGAAGGAACATCAGCCAACTGTGTCCGGGTGGCCAGGGAGGCATCCTGGGCTGTGTCAGCAGCAGTATGGCCAGCAGGACCAGGGCAGTGATTGTCCCCCTGCAGGCAGCACTGGCAATACAGTCCCGTGCCCAGTTTTGGGCCCATCACAACAATAAAGACAGTGACATGCTGGAGCAGATCCAGGGATCCCGAGAAGAGCAACGGAGGTGGAGAAGGGTCTGGAGTAGAGGTGTGACGAGTGGCCGAAGGAGCTGGGGGAGTTTATCCTGAGGAAAAGCAGACTTGGCGGAAGATGTGGTGGGGAGAACCTTGCTGCTCTCTACAATTACCTGGAAGGAGATTGTAGCCATGTGAGGATTGGTCTCTCTTCCCAGGCAGCCAGCAACAGGACAAGAGGAGATGGCCTCAAGCTATGCCAGAAGAGGTTCAGGTTGGACATTATGAAGAACTTCTTTACTAAATGGTTTATTAAGCATTAACTGGGGTCTGGCTGCCTGGGGAAAAGGTGGACTTACATTCCCTGGAGGCGTTCAGTATGAACACTTAGTGTCCTGTCTAGTAGACAGGGTGTTCAGTGAAAGGTTGGTCTTGATGCTCTGGAGGCCTTTTCCAACTTTAATGTTTCTGTGTGATTATGCGCTCCAGGGGACACCCACAGCCCCTCACAGCACCACGGCCGGGCTCGGGCCATCGCCGCTTTAAGCACGGGCCGCCTCAGCGTTTCCCTGTTTAAGGTCGGCACGCGTGCGCGCGGGGCCGCGCCGGGCCGGGCCGGGCCGGGCGGTGTGTGGGGCGGTGTGTGGGGCGGTGTGTGGGGCGCTCGGGTCGGCTCAAGGTGAGCAGGAGGTGTGGGCGAGCCGTAGTTCGGCCTGGGGGGCGCGTACTTGGTAGTGCTGTTACTCTCCTTGCCAGGAGTCGCGTCCTCAGGGATTAGCACGGCCTCGCTGCAGGGCAGGCGGGGGCACCGGTGCGGAAGAGGTTGGAAGAGGCTGCTGGCATTGCCCGATCCCTGCGACGCGAGCTGGCATCCAGCTTTACTGAGCCCCCGATCAGAGCGCGTCCCGGGGCGGGGAGGCATTCCTGAGGAGAGGAGCGGAGCCTACCGCAGCCCCGGGCCGGCCTGTAGGACTGGGCCCCTGCGCTGCCGCTCCCGGGGTCTCTCTCCTGGGCTGCCCTACCTGCGACTCGCGAATGTGGTAATGGCTCGTCTGCAAGGCTCTCTTCAGGGGCTCTTCCACCTTTGACAGCACTGCTTCCCAGCTTGGTCTTTGGGCATTCCTGGATAGTCACTAGGCTCTCTGAGCCGGCTCTCGCGTGGAAGCCTGCAAATTGCATTACAGGCTTCTCAAAAAACCCATCGGGCAATGCTCCTGCCATCCTGGGAGCAATCTGCATTCCTTATGTGAAATTCTGCCAGGAAGAAATAGGCCAAGTTCAAGATGTGGTACCTAACAGCTTTAACTTTTTTTTTTTTTACACCTAAATCTAAAAAGTAAAGTTTATACAACCCTGTTCTATGTAGATATTAGTGTGTATACTTACTGAAACTTTTGATTTGTAGGTCAGTGAAATCTGAAAAAAAGCTGAAAGATATTAGGCTTCTTGGGGGTATAAAAAAAAGAGGTGGCTGGATCAAGATCCTACTACTATTGTCTTTCCTTTTCATCTGCTTATTCCTTGGAGGAAAGATTGGAGCCTGCCCTCAACACTTATAGTGTGTCAGAAAATCCACATGAAGAAAACACTGTGGGAGAGACTTCTCATCAGAGAACATGGAACATCAGGAAATCTAAATTTATTGGTTCAGTTCGTGAAAGTACTTAGCTTTTTATGGCATGTGTTTTGCTCCATTCATGACAGTCAGTATTCATTCTGGTTTGCCATTAACAGTCATGAATTGTAGAGCTCCTTATTGGAGCTGGTGGAAACTTTGGTGCTTAATCCATTATGTTTGCTTTTCTATTTCCATTTATCTCACCTTGCCAGTTACAGTTGTCTCTTCTTGTTTTTTCACCAGTCATTCCCACCTCAGTTTGCTTGGTTGTCTCATTTGTTGTTCCCAGTTTCTTCAGTTCTCTCTCCCCGTTCTTTTTTGCTCTTCTCTCCTTTACTGGTCATTAAATTGCTATTCTTGTCGCATTTCTCTGTTCTTACTGATTCCTAGTCCCAGTTCTTCCCATCTTTCCTTCTGCATGTTCCTCATTCACAATCATTCTTGAAATTTCTTTCCTTGAGTTTCCTTTGAGGATCCTTGCTCCAGCTATTTTGACATCACAGTTTCAGAGAACATCCAAATCTTTTTCTCTGTTTAGATTGCCTGCCTTCTTCCTCCTTGCTGCCTGGGCCTGATACAGGACTACCTATTCTTCCTTTTACTTTTTAACTAGACTGCATCTGGCATGGGCTTTAATGACTTGGAAGCAGGTGACTTGTTTTGGCAAGGGTATAGGCAACTGAAAACTCTGCCTTATGGGCAATCTCTGAAACAAGAAGTTCTGGGAACCAAGTCCAGGGTAAACAAACTGCAGCATTTTAGTACTGAGGAATTTATTTAACTTATTAAAAGGAGTTGTCACATGTCTCTGAAACAGTGGGGAAGGAAAGACAAGGGGAGACAAAGATAAAACTGGGCTAAAACATTTGAAATTCCTCTGAGGATGCTGTTCTTGTGCTGCTTAATGCTCTTGATGTACTCATAGAGTAGATCAGGTGATTGGCATAGCATGTTGATGTTAAAGTTGGGATTTTTACTCTATTTGATTTGAAAAATAAAACCAAATTAGAGTGGTTTTGTTTGGAAAAGCTAAAAAATTATAATTGTGTTGTCTTTTTAAGAAATAGTCAAAAAGATCCTGCACACTGGCACTATGCATGTATTGAAAAGAATTGTGTATATGATACAAATCCCCTTTATTTCACTTTTTAAAGAAAATCTGTTCTCATTTTCCAAAAGCTTTCTTCACCGTGCTAAAAGATGGTGCCTCTACTTATTTTCTTTAGTCACTTTTGTATTGTTTGTAATGTGAGGAAAGATTGATTCTTATTGTGTTACTGTGATCATTTGCTTCTGTGTTGGTGTTGCTACTTCCACTGTAGGTGCAGTCCTTGCATTTAGAAGTAAATGTCCATCTGCAGTGTTGTATTTGTTGTGGCAGCTGTCAGAGAATTAGTGACAATTCAGTTGCCAGTTTCACTTTTTGTCCACCCACTCACAGTATTTGGAAGATCTTAAAATTGAATCAGTACACAGGCTCCTCAAACAAAAGCTGTGAAAACAAACTGGGAAATAAACTGTGTTGTTTTTGTTTTTTTTTTTCCTTCAGAATGTCAGGAATTCAAAGAACTAGTCTAAACTTACATTGGATAGTTTTTCTACTTACATCTTTCTATGCTGCTCTGTATTGCTTTGTCTTCCTTTTAGTATGTTAATATCTTGATTTTTTAAAATATAACTGGGTTTTTTTCCTCTGTATAATCACAGAAAGCAGATATTTCAGGAGTATGTTAGTCACAATAAAAAATATCTTCATCTTCTCTTGTTCAGATTGGGGTTTTGTGTTTGCATAATACACATATTTTGTTTCAGCCTAACAAAAATGGAGTCAGCAGTTTTGAGAGTGGACTGCTCTGTAAGGCATGAGCTGTACAGCAATTCTGCCTGCTCTGTGTGGTTTATAAACAGGCCCAAACCTCAGCCATGGGTATGGATAGTATATATTGAGGAGTGATGTGGCCAGATTTCATGTCAGATGATGTTGGTTTATATTCACTGCATTCTTAATTCATTGTTTCTGCACAGAGCAGTTTGATTAGTGGTTATAAACTTCAGCTTAGTTGCAAATGTGTGCAAATCATTTACTAGAGTAGGCCTGTCCTTTTAAACTGCACTGGGCACATCTGACAGTTTATAACATGCTCGTTGTATTAGCAGAAATTCTCAGGTGCTGAATCAATTCCTCTGAGGATAACAATTGTACTACTTGAATGTAATTTTGTTGGGCAGGTGTTATCAGGAAGAATTTTGAGTTTTATTCTGAAAAATATTCTGTAAAACAAATCCAGAGTGACGTGCCCGTGATCACACAGGAAGTCCATAGCTGAGTACAGTGCTGAACCTAACATCTGCCAAAGTTTCTCTTAGGCCATCCTTCCTGTTAGGGTTTTACATTATTTATGTTCTAGAGATTGTATCAGCTGTGTGGGTATAAAAATGGATTTTTATTTCACTTTTTAATTGTTAAGTCCTCAATTTTCAATGCTCATTTTTGTTTACAAACAGTAAGTAGTAATTTCATGAAAGTGTGTGGTTTTTTCCTTTTGCTGTAGACTGGTGTTCTACACCATATTGTCCAAAGAACTCTGCAAGTCACTTGTTTTTCAGCATTATGTGTAAAGACACATTTGAGTTTCATTCCTTGTAGCATCCTTAGGTATTGAAATACTGGAAAGAAATTGACTATTTATTAACTTTTCCCAAATAAGTAGCTTTTCAAGTGCAAACACAATAAAATGTTAAAGCTTGATCTGTTTCTTTAACAAGATACTTGTGTTTTGAGTCAGCTGTGTGTTTTAGAGCAGAGGGATGGCCAGGGTTGTGCACATTTTCTCCTAATAACTTTTTAATTGTTTTTCAGCATTCGAGACTATAGTTCTTGATGGTTTGTGAGTGCTGTTATGTGAGCGCTGTAGCAGTACAGCAGAAGGTTCTGTATTTTGCAGTATTCAAAGAATAAAGGTGTTGGACAAGTGGTGATGATGTACTCTTACTAGGCTCATCTTTTAGATTTGCTCCAATTTGCTGTTCATCAGCAAAATAATCATTATGACAAAGATGTCAGCTATCATGTTTCATTCCTTAATGCCCTTTGTTCATATGGAGGTTGTTCATTTATGGCTCTTGGCTGAAAATAGCAGTCACATTTTTATTTTGTATTAAATATGAAAGCATGTGGGATCATGGTTTTTTTCCTGTTAAATCAGAGTAATTTCCTCTTAATAACTTTGGGTCTCACAAGTGCAAAATCACAGATTTGCAATCCTCTTTTAAACTGTTGAAATTCAGGGGGAAATTTTTCTGTAGAACAGATTGAATGATGATCTCATTCTTTCTCATCTCTGGGCACTGCTAATAGAAAGAATTGCTTTTTCTTACAAAACATCTTACACAACAATATCTTTTTATCAGGTACCTGCAGACTGCTATTCTCGTGTGCCTGCACACCTTTTATCGAGTGGTGCCTGACTTTGTGTGCAAAGCTGCCTCTGTATCTGTTAGGTGGGAACGGGGTGTTCTCAATCATCACAGGAAAGCTAATCAGACACCTCTCCCTCTGCCTGGTGGGGGCTGGTGATGGTCCTACAAGGAGCATGGTGCATTACAGTTTTCCTTCTTTCCAGCAGGTGCTACTGTGACACTGTATAAGTCAGGACTTTAATAAGATAAACAGGGAAACTCCTTATTCACATGTTGTTTAGTTGGTTTATATGATTCTTTATATCTTCCTTGGGCATGGATGCTGAAGTTGGGGAGGTCTGTATTTCATCTCCAGTTTCCAAATTGCTGAGTACTTTGCCTCATATTCTTTTTTCAAAAAAATTTATGTTTCAGGCCTTCAAGTAACACTTTCTTTTGTAGAAATCCAGTGTGAAATTACTGCAAAAGCAGAGATGATTATACAAAGAGTAGTGCTGAATTCACGGCCTGGTATGTATTTCTCTCCACTAAAAAAAGCAATTGTTTGTTCTAATTGACAGTGCTCAAAAATTATGAGAGTAGAAACAGACACTAATTTGAGATATTGACGTTTATATATCTTAATATTGTATGCAGCAATAAAGTTTATTTAAAGTCCATTTATTTATATATAAAGTTATCAATTTCCATTAATATAAATAAATATATATGTAATAAATTTGTCTGTGTTTATTAATAAATGTAAATTGTATTACTATAGATACATTTCTATTAAATATATAACATATATTTGAACTGCATTTGTTTAGTCTGTATATGCACATTTCTAAAATGGGTGAGAAAAAAGGGTTAACATGTAATACATGAGAAAACTCTAAGTGTAGGGGCTGAAAGTGAAGAAAGATTAGGGCATGTGACATTTTAGTTCTCATGTTTATTCTTTTTGCATTGTAAGATATGTCTAAAATATTTTGTTACTATTAATTTTTGTTTCTGTGTAGTAAATATTGAATCTTTTGTTCCTCTCATGTTTCAAAGGGTTTGTTTTTTAAGTTTACACTGTTGAGGTTTTGTTTACATAAAATGCTTGCACATTTGCCTTGTTATGGATCAGCACAGTATTCTGAGGAGTGAGTTCATAAATTTGGTGTAGAAGACATTAAGTTTTGGAGGGAGTATTGTGTGCTGCTTAATGCTAAACTAGTTTCAAGTTTAAAAAACTATTGTGTGAACTGCAATTAAGTCTTTCAAATGGTGTAGCAGGAGCCTGCTCTAGCTGTGCAGTCTCCCTGATCTAAAATAGGTAAGGCTGTCCGGCTGTCTCAGCACTGCCTCAGAACTGTTGTTCCAGTTGTCTGATTGATCTGCTGTGTGTGGTACCAACCTGAGGATGAAGCCTCCAGTTCTGGGGTCCTTGCCACAGTTTTATGGATATTTCTGGGAGGCTTTAATGTAAGGAAGTCTCTGTGAAAGGATGCCCTTGAAGAATGTGCATGTGCAGTGGCTGCAATCTGTATTCCCTGAGTCTCACTTGAGTCAGAAGAGGCAGAAAGGCAAGAGTAGTTGGTTGTAATTTTACACCTGAGTAAATATATAACCTAATTTATTTTAAAAAGGACTGCCTTAAAAAAAGGCCTTCCCCTGTTGATTAAGGGAAATTCTGTATTGATTAATTTATTTGTTTAATTCTAATATAACTCTAGGTAAGAATGGAGTGCCAGTGGCTGAAAACTTCCGACTGGAGCAAAGTACAATAGCAGATACAGTTCCAGCAGGACATGTGCTTGTTAAAACTCTCTATCTCTCAGTGGACCCCTACATGGTAGGTGATGGACTTAAAGATAAGCCAGATTTAGATTTTTTAAGTATCTTCAACTCTTTAAGTACCTGTCATGATGTTTAACACCAAAGTTACCAATTACAGAAGAAATATATATGCAGTGTTACACAGTAATTGTATTAATTCTGATGGAGTTACCTTGGGAAGGAATTTGGCATTAATATGCTTGGGATATATACAGGAATTTTTATTGGACCAGGAATAGACTGTAAGCCCTAGTATGCCATTACAGATTTGTTTGTGTCAGCTTTTTCTGAACTTGGCCTTTTTTATATTATTTTTTTTTCTATTCATGCAAAATTACAGTAATCATGTGGCGTAGATAATTGTGGGTTGAAATGGAAGTGAAGGTAGAAGAAGAACCAGACAGATACAGTCTGTAAAATTATGCTATAAAGAGAATTCTGATCATTTATTCCCTCCATAGATGATGATAGAAGAAAAAAAACAGTCTAGATTTCAAGAAAGTACATTTAGCATGAGAATTAAGGAAAAGTTTAAGAATCCTGAAATACTGGCTACATGGGAAACTGCAAAGAAAATATGTCCCATTTCAAGATGTTTCATTAAACAGATCTCTGTCAGGGATGGTCTATGTATATTTGACTGCCCTTCAGTGCAGAGGCATTGACTAAATGACTCATGGGCATTCTTTTTCAATCTTGTATTTCTTGCAATCCTTCAGTTGAGGAATGGCATTTGTAGGGTTCTCATCAGACCCAAGCCAGTCGTTATTAGTCGTGCTGGTGCCTTTGAGCCAACTTTTCAACAACTTTGAGTCTGTAGAATATGTTGGCTTTGGTAACACTGCTGGAGGAGATCAGGGTGGTCCATCCTCTGTTTGTACTAAACAAACAAAGGGAAATAGTGATCTAAGAAAAGATTATGAATACTTGGGGTTTATTGAGAGATTTTTGAGTAGCCCTTTGTGTTTGAAGTTCAGAACCCATCTTCATCCCCCACCCAACTTGAACTGATAAACAAGTTGTGTTCCATCAGAGCCTTTCATTAAAGCCTTGTCTTTCAGCGCTGCCGAATGAATGAGGACACGGGCTCGGATTACCTGCAGCCCTGGCAGCTGTCTGAAGTTGCTGACGGTGGGGGCATCGGGGTAGTGGAGGAGAGCAAGCACCATAACCTTGCTAAAGGAGACTTTGTAACTTCCTTCACTTGGCCCTGGCAGACAGCGGCAATTCTTGATGGAGGCTCGCTACAAAAGGTAATATCAATGCAAAGCCCAGGTTGTGACTTTTTTCCCTGAACCCTTTCCCCCCCCAACCTCTTTTTTCCCTAAATAGCTGCTAATGACACTATTTTTTAATGCAAGAGAAGCATACTTATTGAAGCAATCAGTTCTCAAAATGCAGATCAACTCATAGATGCCAAGATTTATGTAAATTTCTTTTTTTTCATAACAATTTTGCTGGTTAATAGACAGGCCAGTATTTAATTGTTGTTTAAAAAAAAAAAACAACCTGAAGCTGCTTCAGTTAAATAATTCTCTTAACTATTTTAATTCTAATAGAACTTGTTCATGAGAATGTAACTGTAAGACATGAAAGGCTTTAGGTATATTTATTTTTCTGACTTATGTTAGTAAAAGCTTTTACCTGAGTTTTTATATTCACATAAGGAAGGGTATTCAATGTTAAGTTGAAAGTGGAAAGGTTTCACTGTGTAACAGAAATTGTGTTGATTGTTCTCTTGCAACAGAGGTTTGAGAATTTATACTTTCCAATAAGCTCCTTCCTTTAGGACTCTTTGTCAGTGATCTGCAAACACCATATTTGATAAAATGGTGCATTTTTGTCCTTTTATGCTAGCATAGGGATAGTTTACCATTGTTGGAAACTTCTTATCTCCCAGCTGCTTTTTAACACTTCCATAATTTAATTTTTTGTGAGTTACTTTGTCTAAAATCTTTTTCTAAAACCACAGAGACATTTTTGTACAGACTTTTTAGAATAGAGCTAGAGATAGCTCATCCCTACCAGTTTTACCTTGTCTGGTAAATATCCTGAATTAGTTTTCTACCTTCAGGCAGTCAAAAAGCAAAACCTCACCTTAGAAACAAATGACCTCCTACCTACTTTCTGTTCTGCAGCTGGTACCACAGCTTGTAAATGGACGCCTTTCCTACTTTCTGGGTGCAGCTGGCATCACAGGGCTGACGGCCCTGTTGGGAATCAGGGAGAAGGGACATGTGGCTGCAGGTGCAAGTCAGACCATGGTGGTGAGCGGAGCCGCCGGTGCCTGCGGCTCTTTGGCTGGCCAGGTAGGTTTAGGGCATACAAACTTACTCTGTTAGCAAGTTTTGTCTTCTGAAACATTCTGGTTATTAAATATGCAGATAAAATCTTTGTAAACATGAGCAGGTATAACCCTGTGGGAATGGCCAGTTTCACAGATTTGGCACACACTCTTACTGTGAAAGACTTGATGTATGAAACTCAAGTTTCATGAAACAGGAAGAGAACACAGATGGTAGTGATTACTTGTTGCTAGTACCAGTAAAATAGATGGTGTATATATACATGTATTTATTATACATTTCTATGGTAGCCTGCCATCCCCACACTGGATTGACTGGAGACTTTCATTTTTTTTTGCTGTTGGAAAATAGTAATGTGATAAACTCTTTGTGCTGTGTTCCATGACATCCTTTGTGTTTTGAGATTTAGAGTCCTTTTATCCTCTGTTTTGCAGAACCTGTTTGGACAGTGTTTGTGCATATCTACAAATATCTCTCTAGATACGTATATATATACACAAACAAAATTGATATTAAGCAAACTTTAGACCTACTAATAAAGAGAAGCTATGAAAAAAGAATACTTGAGCAAGTCTATGAAGATTGTATTTAAATCAATTATTGTCTAATTTTTTTTCCTTTTATTAGTTATATTATGGTACTTGGCAGATTATAATTTTCTACTATATTTGGTTCTCTAGTACTGGCAGTCATTGGTGATTATACAAACACAGTCTTCTGCAGTCAGTGGGCTTGAAAAGATGGCAAATTTTGATTGTACCTGCCCCATGTGTAGTTGAGAGGAGGGAATGATGAGGCAATTGTGTCACATGAGATGGGAGCATTTTCTGCCTGGGGTTTAGTGGGATGGGAATAACTGCAACACCCCTTAGGACCCCCTTCCTTCCACTGGTACTTTTATGCAGGTTAATGATCTAATTTGTCTTTATTGTTTGGAGTTTTTGGTTGGTTTGTTTATTTGTTTTTTAACTGTGTGCCTGCAGATTGGCCGTCTGGAGGGCTGCTCTAGAGTGGTGGGGATTGCTGGCACAGATGAAAAGTGCTCCATTTTGGTCCAAGAAATGGGGTTTGATGCTGCTATCAATTACAAGAAGGGGGATGTGGCAAAACAGCTACGTGAGCTCTGCCCAGGTGGCGTGGATGTTTACTTTGACAATGTTGGTGGAGACATCAGTGATACAGTTATAAGTCAGGTGATTATTCCAGCTGTCAGGTTTATTCTAGTCATTTTCCAATGTCTGCATGCTCAGCTTTCAATTAATTAATACTGGAGTCCAGCCTGTAATTTAACTGATAATAACAGCAGGCTTCCACTTCAGTGATCAATTTCAGGTGCTCATTCTGGGGGCCCGCATGAAGATAACAATTTCCTATATTCCTTCTATTTAGTGCCTTTTAAAATTACACTAGGCGGTTTAGCAGTTATTTTCTCACTATTGCCTTGCATTTTTACCTGTTTTAATGTTGTCATAGATTGAATGGGACTGCATGCAATTCTCCCATTCTTTTATAGGAAATGTAGCTAGTGAAAATTTTGCAATAACATCTATTGCATCTGAAAAATTTAGTTACTGAGACTGAGGAATGCCATTTTTCTCACTTTATGCTGTCCCAAACAGATGAATCAGAACAGCCATATCATCCTGTGTGGACAGATTTCTCAGTATAACAAAGATGTGCCTTATCCCCCTCCACTGCCTCCTGACATAGAAAAAATACAGAAGGAAAGGAACATCACAAGGTACATTTCTCCTCCAGAACTTGTGACCAGGTTCCAGGTAGATTGTTCATATGGTGTTTGTAAGATAGTCTGTAATCTGCAGTAGCCACTTGTAATTGGAACAGAATATTGCCATGCCTAAAAAGGAAAATACAATCATGATATCAGTAGATCCTTTCCCTTACATTTGTCTTTTTCAGTATAAAAATGGGAAAGGATGTTTTTATATAGAATCATAGATGTCAGTTGTTACATTTTGTTTGAGATTGCTTGATTTAGTCCTTTAATCCCTGACAATTCTTTAGTACAAGGGAAGGTGTTGCCATAGTTCTGTTCTCAGATGTGCAAAGTACCTTCTTTCAAAATGTTGTTCAGACATAAGGCTGCAGCTGATGCAGTGATTTTATTGAAACTGCATTTTTAGTATTTGAGAGGTTATTAGATAATGCAACTAGGTGTGACAGATAGATATAGGTAAAACATTTTCATTATGTTCTGACTCTGAATTGCTGAATTTCCGCTTAGGATTCCAATGGAACTAAAGCAGAGATTAGGAGGAGAATCTTAGATTTTTCAGTCTTTGCTCTGTGGGACATTTGGGAGACTTGATTCTTGTGCAAATCAATTTATCTCTTCTAATTAAAATCTTTCCTTGTCCCTGTTACTGCTGTCTGCCCTCTTAAAAAATGAATAAAATTAGTAAAATACACCATGCATAGTAGAATGCAGTGGAGAATTTAGTCAGTATGTCCCTACAAGTAATTATAATTTTTGATGATAATTTCCATTTCTCATTTGCTATGGAAAGCTGTGACAGCAGGATATGCAGAATTGTGGGGAACCTGAAAATTAAGTTAGTCTCACCGTCCAGTTGTAGGTTCACTAATTATTCTCCCTACCACTTAAAAGAAAAAAAAGGTAAAAAAATAATAAGAATTTGCTTACATTTTTTAGATGTTTACTTATTTTGGTGATACTACTTTACTCCTCGATTTTTATTACTCCTCTCTCTGATACTTGAAGAAAATTTACTGTCAAGCTCCCACTGCAGGAAGTTGTCCCAACAAACTGGCATAGCCTTGAGTTATTTCTTTATAATTCGTGCTCATAACCCTTCAGTTTCAACAAGGCTGTTTTCTGAAAAGATTTTTAAAGATTTTCAAGTACATTGACCTAAGTTTCTTAAACCAAAGCTCATCCTTTTCTTTCACAGGGAAAGATTCTTGGTGTTGAACTACATGGACAAACAAGAAGCTAGTGTATTACAACTCTGCCAGTGGATCCAAGAAGGTAAACTGAAGGTGAGAACTTCTAGGTTTAATCTATGGCCTTTGATACTCTCTCCTACTACAAGAGGACTAATATCTTTTTCTCTGGCTCTCTTACTGTGCCTCAGGATTGAACAGACCTTTTAAAACAAGTGTAAGTATAATTGAAAGCTTATTAGGTAGCGCCATATTCAAAGGTACTTGCTGAGAATGGTCTGACCATAGTATGACTGACATCTGATTACATGCTGCTCGTGTCTGTATTCTTTATTTCAGCATAGGGTGCAAGTGCTTTTTTACTTAAAGATTCAGACTTTCAAAAATATCTACTTTCAAATATCCAATGAGTTAAGTGTCCTGAATGCTTTTGAGGATCTTGTTGGAAATTTTACTTTAAGCTTTATAATCACTCTTTATTACTTTGTAATGAGTACAGGCTTAACTGTGCCTTCCCTGCGAAGTCTTTCTGAATTAGTTTTGTTCTTCAAGTGATCAGTAATCTTCCTGGGAAAATACCAAGACATTAAATTTTGGTAGGGGCAGGGATCTCATTGAAGAATTAACCCACTTGCAAATTTATCAGAAAATATTCACGCCTCTCTTGATGAAAGAATCTGATCCAAACAGAGCCCTGTCTATTGTAGTGAGAAAAGTCTTTAGATTTTGGTGGTTTCTGTACCAGTTCCTTGGCATGTTTCTAAGAAATGTGAAATGCTCTCTTGTTTGAGGAAAACTGAAAGGACTTGTTTGCATTGACAGGTCAGAGAGACTGTGGTAGAAGGCTTAGCAAACATCGGTGGTAAGATATTTACATCATTTTTGAAGAATAATGACCTGATTATATACAATGACATTAGATGTTAACTAACTCCTTTGTTTCATTTGCCAATTTATATTTTTGTATTTTATCAAAAACATTTTTATGTTATAATAATTTTTTTCACTAATTATTATAATGTTCTGTAAGAGAATTATTGTATATTTAAAAGGTCACTGCATATAAATTTAGGTTTTGTTGTTGTTTAAGTACTGAGAGGAATTTATTCTTAGCCTGCTACCTTAGCAGCTGGTGATAGTCATCCTGATCTTAGAGGTTTAAAGTGCTGCCCCTTTCTTTGAACTTGTGTGTAAGGAAATGCTTTTTTAAGTTCTTGAACTTATACTTTAAAAACACAATATCTAACAGAGGTTGTTATTGGATTTGCTAACAAAAAAAATTTAAAAGTATACAGAAGAAAGGACAAAGCATCTTACTAAAGAAAGTAAAAATTAATTTATTTTAAAAGAACAAAATGTTCTGTAGTCTGTTCAAAGTATCTGTAATAAAGGACATACAAAAATGAAGGGGTGACATGGTGGCATGAGCCATGTGATGTGTTGTAAAAATGCTTCCCTTTCAAGGAAGAGGCAAGAATATGATTTAGTGAATTTGGGCATTAGTCCCACAAGATTGAAATGTAGTAGAATTAAGTGATAACTAAATCACATATATTTCCATTTATTCTAGTAATTTCTAATTCCTCCTTACTGGTATACATATGTATTTTAAAGTAACTTGGTCAAATATATGAGTCATATATCATACTTTCATACTTTGTTTACTCAAAGATATATTCTTTTGTACCAGCTTCTCCCACTATTTTACAATATTCATAAACCTTTTCTTTCACAAATGTTTGTGTGACCCACAGCATTTGTGGGTTGTCCAGTCATGCCCTGTCTTTTTCCTGTGTGTGTGATATATCACAAAGCAGTAAATGTAGTTTTTAATTTGTACAGGGTAAAACAGTTGCTTACAGATAATTTTTTTTTAATTATTACACAAAGCTGCCCTTAGCAGTTTATTACAGGCTAATTGTTTTTTTTTTTTTTAATCCCCTCTTTAATTTATAACATGATTAAGGATAAATATTATTAGGTCCAAAGTGCTATCTCTCCCTTTTAGGGAGCTGCTTAATACATTTGCTTCTACGATTTTTGGTTTCTTTTTTAGAAGCTACTTGGCTTGTTTTGCTTGGCATTAACGTATTTCATTATTTCTCTTGAAGCTGCTTTCCAGTCCATGATGAATGGAGGCAATATTGGAAAACAGATCGTCTCAGTTTCGAAGTAAAAGTCATTGGTTCAAGAAAAGTAATAGCATTCTGTCTCTAACAGTGAGCAAGCTTTTACTTATACTAATTGCCATTTCTTAAATAAACCATTAAGTTGCTCTGTATGTACTGAAAGCAGAGATTTTGGGATGCTAATAAATTAAATTGAACTGGAAACAGCAATGCAATCATATATACTCAAAATGAGTAATGCATTCTTGACATGATTTTGACAGTTGCCACCTACACTTGCAGATATTTAATGGGCGTGGTTTAGAAGAACATCCTGTGTTGTCCCAAGCACAGGCTTATCACCTGGTTGGTGTGTGACACCCCTTCACACACCAAGGTGAGGAATTCCTATTTCTTTATTGTATTCTGTGGAAACTAGGAAATTAGAGGGCAACCCACAAAAGTCTGGCTCATCACCATCAAAACTTTACACTATTTGCACATTTTAGCAAACAAAGCCATCAGTTTTCATTGGTTACAATTGATGTAGCTTTCTCATTAATTACTACTCAGATCTTTATATGCCAGTTATAGCTCTTTCTTCTCATGCTAATTATTGCACATGTACACTTCCCCCCTTTCCATTTGGGGATCTGTTTTAACTTGGTGGTCAGGGGGTCACTGTTTTTGATCTCCCCTGCCAGGATTACCTTTCCCCCAGTTACTGCTCAGTCCTGCTGACTTCACTGCAAGGGCTCCCATCCAGACAGCCCATTTATTTTGGGATTGTGTTCCCTTTTCCTTAAAGCAAAGGATTAGCCATGTGTACATGTTTCACTGTGCAATTGCTTAATTGTAACTTCCTAGCTATAGGGACTGATTAACAGCAAAAAAACTGCAGAGTTTGATTCAAATCTCGAGGAAGTAAATATCACAATATTTGCTGAAGGGCTACTCCAGAGTGAGCTCATCTCTGGCACCATGAGTTGACACATTTTCCATACATAATTGTCCTTCAGAGAGTTATTTTTCACAACTGGCACAAAATATGATAGAATTATAATATTCCCAGCACTATTATTTTTATAGGAATTGCTTAGTAATCCACACAAGTCAGCAGTCTATTAAGAGCTGTGAAGTGAGGGGTGATTCAGAGTGAGGTCATGCTGAGATACTGAGTCCTTACCATAATAAAGGCAGCTTGATTGCAGTAGCATTCCAGTAGTTAGGTAAGCTGTGGAGGCTTACCTACAGGCTCTAGCAGCATTAGTTAAAATGGCTTTAAGACAAAAATACACGGACAGTCAAAGTAAACCTCACCCTGATAACACCTGTGTTTACTATTCTCACAGAAGTATTCCTTTACTTGTGAATCCTGATTTATGTCACCTCTTGAGAATAAAAAGCCAAAATGAGAAGATTATTTAAATTAAGTGCCAGCAGTTAAAAAAACTACTAATTTTTTTCATCTTGTCCTCCTAATTTCTTAATATTTGTAATAGTGTGGCTCTTCATCTATCATGTATTTTGTACTGTGAGAGGTGTCATTTAACAAAGGGTCATAAATAACTGGTAAGAAAAATCCAGTATGATTTGGAGGTTGCTTCTCATGGTAATTAGTCCACATGCCCAGTCTTTCACTTCTTTTGGGTTGCTGAGTTTCTTGAGTCGGTGGTTGTGATCTCCCCATATCAGAATTACCTTTATCCAGTCAGAGCCAATTTCAGCACAGTTGCTGAGTTGTCTTTATTAGTTTCTTCCATATCCTGGGAGTTCTTCCAGATGTCCTTGTGGCCTATAAACTCTGCATTCTTTGTGTCCTCTGTCAGTAGTACATTCTTTCCAAGCTTTGCTAACCTCCCACTATGCCTGAGATCAATGCCAAGCCCTAAATGTTAAGGAGGACAACAAGTACTTTTTCTTTAACACCTGAGCATGACTTAGAGCTTGCTTGTTAGCTGCTACCTGCTTTGTGGATTGTATCTTCTTTCTTGTTAATTAGGCTTGAAAACATATAAATACCAAATATCTTTCTTTCTTAAGAGAATTTTTACATATTTAACATTTTACAACAATAAGACAAGACCATGTTTCATAACCCCCTCCTGATTCCTTGTAACTCTCTGGGCAAATGGTTAATTGTTTCTGTCTCTTAAGATGTCAGCATCATAATCAGTCTCTTCCCTTTTATTTCATTGTCTTAGTTTCCCTTTTATTGCATTCCGTGTTTTTTAGGTCAAGCTGTTCTCCTTTTCCCAAAAACAGACCCATACATCTGTTTTTTATCTCCAACACAGCTGGTGGTGTTCCTCAAACAGGGCTCAGTACCTGCAGTGAAAAGCCAGTATCTGGCCCAGAGCCAAGATATTTCATTTATTTCATGTTTGCACCAAGATGGGTGCTAGGTAGTAATTCCACAAAGCCAACTTGGAATGAATGTATTTGCCTTTCTCTATATCTAATATATATTTATTTTAACTCATAATTGACTGGCATCATATTTGCTAACTAGGCCTGCATGTGCATAACTGCTCATCTTTTGAGTCAGTGGGTTTCCTGAGTCCATGGTCATGGACACTTCCAGAATTACTCAGAATTACTTTTTCTCTGAGGACACAATTTCTGAGCCAAAGCAGTTCACCATCTTGTTTACCTTCTTGATTTAAGATGGGTCTATTAGAACCTGTTGGCTGGGGTCCTTGTTTCTTTGTTCCTCTAGTGATTTCTTTAGGTCATCTTGACTTTCTGGCATAATCCAACAATTTTTCCATATACACAGAACAGCAACTCCTGTAACTCACAGAGCACTGGCACAATTTCTAGGAAACAAGTACAGTCTTTTATTCAAAAAGGTGTCAAGGAAGGAGTCATACGAACACTGACAAATAGTCACTCATGATTCATTACTGATGCCTATGACAAAATTCCTAATGCACGTGTGCAAATCTGGTTCCAGTTCATTATATTATCATTTACACAGACAAATTTTCCTGGGGGAGGAGAATGTCTCTGAGTATTACAGTAATCAAAGGTAATTCTAAGTTACATTTTCCTTCTATCAGCTATCAAGTTACTATTTAACCTTATATTCTATTCCAGTTTCTGCTTGAGACTCTTTGAAAAATTAGTTGCTAACTAAATAAGGATTTATAATATTATTCCTGGAGCCTTTTCACTAACATTCTATTCCTAAAGACTCCAGCCTCATTGTTATGGTTTCAAAACTGACTTACAGCTGCTAGGGCCTTTTTTGTGAACTTTTATGCATTTCTGTTTTCATGTGACATTATGACACAGTAAAGCTACAATCTTCCTAAATAAGCATTTGCAAAGGGTAATAAAATGTACACAGTATTGGGCAGAGACACTTTTTTTTTATTTTTGGTTAAGACAATCTTCTGCTTTGTATTTATTACTCTTGTGCATTCCCACTTCCATCCCATTTCCCTTTGTACCTTGAAGTATTGCTGTTGTTTGCCCTATATTTAATTTTCTTCCCTTCTGCTTTCTTCCCTTCCATTTTCATCCCTTTCCCATTTTTTTTGTTTGTTTGGGTTGGTTTTTTTTTGGGTTTTTTTGTGGGCTTTTTGGTTGTGGTTTTTTTTTTAGTTCATCTTGTTTCTTATCCTCATTTTTGGCTTCTTCATTGACTGAGAAAAACACGGTGTTTTTCATAAGAGCACCTATTAGTGTTTAGTGCTAAACTGTACAGTTAAATGTCAGGATTTCATGCAAAATGTCACCAACACCATGAAAAGACCTTTCCACCCCTGACATAATGTTTCTTACTGCAGTTTATAGTAGCTATTGTTACAAAAGCGAAGAGACCTGAGGCAGATGCCTTTCAAATAGCTTAATCTCTTCATTCAATATTTTTATGCATTTATTGTGGAGAAGAAAATGCTGGATTACTTAGTCCTGTTTCTAACATTGCTCTTCTCTTTTGCTATGCTATCCTCCTCTTTACTGGCTTCTCTTCAGAGTAGGTAATGTTTATATGATCCATAAATAGATTACCAGGGGGAAAAGAAGATCACAGGCAGATGGCATTATCCCACAACTAGAAATGGTAGCAGCTGCTGGAATAAGCTTCAAACTGAGAAAATACTTTGTGAGACAACTCAGAACTCTTTAGGAAAGCACAGAAGGAAGCAGAAATGAGACACGATGTTTTAGCCACACTAACACAGAATTTTGCAACCAGAAGTATAGATTCAAAGTAGAAAGATAAAAAGTAGTGAAATTCAGTTTTGCTACTGTACTCTGGTCCAGATAGAGTGATGATAAGAGTGCTGTATGTGCAACAGACCCTATTCGCTGCAAGACAGCCACGAGGAACCAAGAAACAAGGCTCCAGTGAAGTGAGAAAAAGACTCCATAAATCTGCAAAATTAGTACAAAGCAGGAGGATGGCTCTATATATCCAGTAAACAAGGAGACAGGAACAACAGCCTGAGAAGGCCAAAGAAGAACTTTGCTTGCCTTTTTTGCTAATCTTTAGTCATTAACATAGTAAAATATAATCCCATCAGCCACTTTCCCCTAGAGCATGGATGGCAAAATACGAGAGTAGCGTGCCTTTAAATTAAGGCAACAAAACGTATAGCCAGTGACTGTGGGGTGGGGGGAACGCTGTTGTTCCAGGGCTTGGGATATACAAAAGCAAGTACTGGCACTGCACGTGTGCTGGCTCTGTGGATCCACTGCCCCAGCACCTGCTCTGCACACACAGGGAATGCACCTCTCAACTCTGTGTCCATCAGCTTCTTGTGCAGCTGGTGAGAGAACCCATAGCTGGGACAACAGGAGTTTTGGTGACACAGCCACAGAGCCGGATTGTCCTGCTGTCCCGGCAGCAGCGAATCAGATGGGACAGGTGTCCAGCGTGCACCGACCCCTTCCTTGATCAGGGACTCCACTGAATCCTCTCCAGTGCTAGGGTGCTGCAATGCCCCAGAGAGGTGTTTGAGGAAGCCAAAGGAGGTTGTGTGTCAGCTTTTCTGGACCCCCAGAATTTTCTGGATTGGTTGGTGAACTTAAGTTCTTCTTTCTTCTTTAAAGAAAAAAATAAAAATCAGCCTCCACACAAGCCATGCTTGAATGCTCAGTGTGGAGGCTTAATCAATCAGTGGGTTCAAGTGGTGTGCAGCACAGAGATTATTGGAGAGGCCAACCTAAGGGTAAAACTATTGGATAACATTATATCTAACAGTGGGAACAAGTCAAAAGATATGAAGTATATTATTGCCACTTCTTTTTCACTCTCATCGCATAAAAGTACTTTAATTGTGAATGGCATTTTATTATCAATTTTTCAGTATTGTATCTCACAAATAAATTTTGCGCCCTGTCTCTGATTTTTTTAACAGCTTTGCAAAACAAACTTTTGTAGCAATGAATTACATTCTTTATTCTCTGAGCAGTGTATTTAACTCATGTAAATGGGTGCTCTCTCTTTTCCCTGTTACATTGAAGAAATTACATTATTATTAGCATTACATTACTATTTTCCTATATAATTGCACAACAGAAATAACAAAAGTCCTTGTTGTAGTCAGTATTTTCTTCCAATTTATTTTCCTGTGTTCTATTACAGTCACTGCTGTTTTTTTCCAAAGGGACTAGAACTAAATTTGTCCTCTCTTTTCTTGAGAAGCCACAGATAAGTTACTGTAAAATTACCTATAGTATTTTAAGTGTTCCACTCACAGCAGGTTGTTTGTGAAGCAATGCAGTGTTCTTTACAGATCAAGGCACTTCAGCTTTCCTGGCTCTCGATCATTACATTCTTCATTAATCTAACTAACTGTTCTATCATTTTTGGACTTAGGAAAAAATGAAAACAAAGAAATGAGTTTTCTTAGGTCACTCTTTGGTGCATTTGGCTGAAACCCAGAAACACAGCTGAGACACATAAAACAGAAATTACAGACTTTATAGACATCAAACCATAGTATTCCTTCAGCTTCTCCCATCCTGAGGACATTGTCTCCATTCTTTGCTTTGAAGTTGAGAACCCCAGCACTGCTGATAATTCACTGTTCTTTCACCAGTCATGGGTGAGAGGACTGGCAGCCTCAGTAGTGGGAAATGAAACTCCTTCCTTCCAGAGAAGGAGCTCACTTCCAGAGAGTGAGCCTGTTAATTAGCCAGCACTCCCAGGGCAAGAGCTATAGACCACAGCTCAGGTAAACATGAACACAAATACATATGCACACCTTACAGCCTATAATCTGCTTGTATACAGCATTATGAACTGAAAACATGTATGGGCATAGGACTCTGACTGGGAAGGCCACTACAACGCCTTTGCAATCACCATTACTTCATAAAGACATCTGGTCTAGTCTTGTAAAAACACATGTCAACCCTGAAATAAAATCAAATTAAGCACAAATCAAGAAGCTCATCAAGTCCTATGCTCATATTTTGCAGCATTATAAAAAAATCAATAATTAGTTAAAAGTATTTTTCTATTCACAGTAGTAATAGACAAACATTTCCATTTGTGAGCCATATGGACATATCTATCTCTGTATCACTAAAAAAAACCCATTGATGAGATTATTCCACAGTTTACTGTATTAATGTATAATGCATAACTGTATTATATAACATGTTTTATACAGTATGTTGTATAATACAAGGAAAGTGTGTATTGTACATTTACTATTTAATACAGTTCTGTAGCAGTGCAGGTGCCGCTTTGGGTCTTACCACCTAATGGTGGAGTGTATGGAATTCCAGCATCACAAAATGATAAGGTTGTATCTTGACAGTTTTTAAGACAGAACTTGGAGTACTTATATTGTACTTCAAGAGCTTTGACAGTTTTTTATCTCTATTATGTAAGTTCTGAGCTCTGATGATTTCAGTGTCCAGGTTTTATAAATGAGAGCTGTGGTCAGTACCACCAACCACGTTCTCATTGGGGAGAGGAAGAACGCCAAGGTGCCGTATGTTCGCTGCAGGAAATAGCAGGAATAGAGCTGCCAGGCCAGGAGCAGGGCCATTGCCAGGTGAACCAGCACAGCCATGAGGTGTCGGACGTGACGGATGTGGGAGCGAAAGCTGTGGCCCTGACATCGCAGCAGCAGGCACCAGCACAGGTAGGCCATCAATGGCAGGTTGAAAAACATCATCTGAAAGGAAGAGCAAAGAAAAATAAGACAATGAGCAAGCAAAGGTTCTGGGTAACATCTATGAAGGCTTAAAAACATATGCACACATAAAGCTGTCCTGTTCTAAGGGCTGAGTACACTTCCCAGAGATGGAATCTCAGGATTTATCTCCATGACTCTGCAGCTGATAAAGGCACTAGGCCTGAGTCCCAGGCCAAGCATTCCTGCCCATTCCCTTGCAGTAAGAGGCCTAACACACATCTGACATTTCCTCTAACTAATTCAGGGAGACGGATTTACCAAAAATCAGCATGGCAAAACCAGATGGTCTGTATGTCAGCTTAACTCTGACTCAGCCCACTCCAGCAGAGTCCTATTGGTACAAGGGAGACACCATGAAGAAGGAGGCAATGCTGGTTTGGTCCACTATCTTAAATGCCAAGGAATGACACCCTGTCTTTCAGATTAATGGGGAAACCACTCTTGGGAAAACTGGACTCATGTGTGCTTAGAGAGTGACACCTACTGATCTGAAAGGTTATTAAGGGTGCAAGGGCTGCCCTGTCCACTCAGTTTTTTTTTTGCTTAATCACTCTGTGTTAGCCAAAGGCAAAACTAGAAAATTTATAGAAAATTTAGAGTTGTAAATCTGTAGAGACAGCCTCTAATCCAGATATCCAGGGAGTCCAAAGCAACATAATTTTTTAGAGAAAAAGAGAAGTTTGTGAAAATAATGCACAACCTCCTTCCTTTCTTTAAATCTGCAGGAAGGTAAGAAACACCACTTGTAGTCAGGCATCATCACTAATCTCTCTACTTCCAAGACTCCTTTCTTTATAAAACTATTAAAAAACGGAAAAAAGTCCCTGAAAAAAAGCCTGGTTTTTAGCCTTTATTTTATACTCACCTGTAAAATCCCAACCACAAATGTCATACTGCCCTGTAAGAAGGAACCACCAACAAACACCCCAAAGGAAAAACAGGCCCCCATCTGGCCATCTATCAGTTCACCTACAAACCATGGTCCTGCAAGAGAGGAAATCAAACATCATCATCAGGAAACACAACAGAGACACAGCCCTTTCCCACACAACCCTTTGTACCCTGAGACTTCCCTATTACTTGTCCAGAGTAATCAGCCTCATGTTTTCATATTCAGCAAACAGCAGTCTGGTGTGAAAATGCCACAGTATGATAGGGGCTTGTGGCATGCAATGAAAATACTTTTGAATTAATTTCATCTCTGTGACAATTTTCAACACCACATATAATATCTTCCTTATGAGAGAGGTGAAAAGGATAGTTTTTTTCCCAGAATTACAGTAAGATATATGAAAATGTGGTCACAAACAATTCCAGCCTGGCTCAGCATAGAAATTAAAATAGGGGGACTGCTCTGTGTTATGCATACTACACTGGCTAACAAGAAAATAGCTATTTCAGTAAGATGTTATCAGAGGAGAACAAGCTCAGATTGTTAGCTCCGATGCGAACAATCAAAAAATAAGTGAAAAGCAAACTGAATTTAAAAATACTCACTTCACTTTCAGAGTAATTTAACAAGCTAAGTGTTTCATTAATTCAGGGCTTCTAAGTTAGGCTCTTACAAACAAACCTTTAGTCTCTTTGGACATTAACTTTTTAAGTTTCACACAGATTTTGTAACTTAAGTAGATTTTCCCCATTCTCCAAGATGTTAGAATTTTTATTTTTCATCAGAATCTAATGTGTAATTTCAAAGTACCAATTTATGTCCTCCAGTACTCTAGGTTACTTACCCAGAATGGTGTATAAATTCAGAACCAGAATTGAGTAATAGAAGGTGTTTGTTTTACTGAAGATATGAAGAGAATATGAAGTCAGAGTAAGTAATCCCGGCTTTCCTAAACAGAGACAACATTTAAGAAAAATACACTTAATTCAGTTTGCTACTTCAGGATGCTACACAATTAGGAGTAATAAGGAAGGGACAAACACTGACATGAATAGGAAGGGAGGTGGCTTCCAGAAAAGTCTCATTAGTAGGGTGTGGTTCAAAAGATTGTTTAAAGGATAAACACCATGAGTTTATAGTAATAATTTTCATTTACTAGATGTATCACAAAGTATCAAATTATGACAGAAATGGTCTTAATATTATTTTGAGAAAGACCCAATCCTGTTCATGTTCTTTGCAAAAGTTAACAAACACTGTCTTTGCAAAAGGAAATCTGTTACTCCACTCAGACAAGGGAGAATTCTGTGACAACTGTATTGAAACAAGCACACATATAGAAAATACAAAACAAAACATTCCTTTCCCTATGTGTTGGATTCTTCAGTGAGAAAATTAAAATGAAACTGTGGACTTCAATCAATTTTTGTTTAGACAAAGATACCTGCTCAAGTTTCCAGTTCACTTTATTTAATATATTGGAGGTTTTCCAGCTTCCCTTAAAAGCGGGATAGCAGCTTCTGAGAAACCAATCAAATCCCACAGTAGCAGATGTAAAATGCATATGGTGATTAACAGCACAGTTACTTACATATTGTCAGCACACAGGTCAACAGTAAAACATTTGGGGGAAACAGATCTACTAAAAACCACAGGTAAACATTAGTTGATACCTTTGAGTGCTGGCTTTTGGAGGTGTCGGAAAACAACAAGCAAGGTAATCTGAATCAGCACAATCAGTCCAAAGAGCACTCGAGCCTGAAAAGACAGTTTTGACTGTAAGCCAGCCCTGGAATAATTGCAGCCTTGGAGCATGCTTTATGGGCACTGATAGAATGGTACAAAGATTCTATTTGAAACACATTCAAAGCTTGTTGGTGTCATTGAACTGAAGAGTGAAAAGGAAACTTAAAAGAATTTCTAAGTTCTAGGATTTGTATTGTACTGACTTGAATTCTGCTCGATGTCTAAAAGCAATAGAGCCGAATATTTAAAAGAAAGGGTTTGTAAACACATCCATTGAAAAAGTGCAGTTACACTTCCAAGGCAAAACACTGTCTAAGCTGAGGAGAAATGCAGTTCAAGACATGGTGTAGAATGTGTGACTGATTTAACAAAAAAAAAGATAATAACTTTGAGCCAATTATGATAAGAACTACAGTCATGTGGACTTTCTTATGTAGTTCTAGAAGTGCACCTAGACTGTTAAGACATGACATCCTTCTTTGCATGTACTGAGCTGTAACACATATGACTAAAGTCGATGGGGATTTTGCCCTCCACTTCACTGGAGCTGGTTATGATGTCAGCAGCTGACAATGAGAATATTTGCAGCATTCTTTCCAGAAAATGTATTTCAACAGTTCAGAGTGAATTTGTCTTTGGTTTAATGTTTCCTTTTTCTACTATCTCCAGTAGCTCTTTTTCAATTCCTTGCTTGCACAAAATGTGTGTATACATATGCCTGAAAACGGATCATTGGGACTAAATCCAGTCCCAACTGTTTGTATAAACCATTGTTGCACATTTATGGTTGAAGTGTGCAACTTGAGAAACTTTAAATGTTTTGCAATTCCAAAAGAGAATTCACATCTGGAAAAAGTAAACTGCATTCAAGTCTATTAATTCCTTCAGGAATTACAAAAATGCCTACTGCAACTTGGGAAACCAACATGGAGTAATAGCTGTTTTGCTGAAAGTACTTACTAGAACATAGTGGTCAGTGAGAAGAATAACAGATGACCAAAAGTCAAATCTAAGAGAGAGGTTTTCTTCCATACCAAATAAATGGCCCCGTGTGCCAATTCTTCCTGAAGCATCCTAAATTGATATAAAATGAGAGCAATTACATAGCAGTGGTACAAAAAACTGTCTAGTTAAAGTTCCTAATTATTATTGCAGCTTTTTCAGAAAGATACAATAGATGTATGCTTTTCTGGCATACTGCTGTATTAAATTCTACCTACAAAGCATTACTTACAGTCAATTCTGCAATTTCAAGTAAATTGGTGATTATAAAATCATAATCTGAAAGTACTACATATGAAGAAGAGCCTGTCAGAGATTCAGCAACTTATGGAAGACTGTGACTGTTTACTGCCCCCACCCCCCGCCCTACGCCCCAATTGTTATCTGGAAGTTCAATTCTAGGTAATAGCCTGTATTAAAATATTTTCAAATTTTTTTGTGCTTTATTTCTGGTGTATTGCCAAAAACCCATATAGATAAACAAATACTTGTTTATTGTTATTTATTTAACACAGTGCAGTGTTGAGCACAGTGTTTCAGGTGTGGCCTGGCAAGCACTCTGTAGAGCAGGATAGTGACTTGTCTTGGCTGGTGATGCCCTTGTGGATGTACCCCAGGATGCAGTAGATTTTCTCTGCTGCACCAGCACACTGTTCATTCACACTGAGCCTGTGCTCCACCAGGACACTGAGGTCCCTTTTCATAGAGCTGCTCCCCAGCCAGGCAAATCACAGCCTGTGCTGTACTCCTGTATTATGTTTTCTGGGTGCAAGTCTTTAAAATTTTCCTTTCTGAAGTTCATGATGTTCTTCTTGGCCCACAATTTGCCCTTGGGTAATCTGTGTTGGCTCTTCCCAGTCACGTGCTTCATCTGACCTGAGAAAGCCCCCAAGAAGGATTTGTTTCCTAATTTTCCCAGGGGCTGAAGTAAGACTGATGGGCCTATAATTTCCTGGATCCTCCCCTTAAGCGCTTGTAGACAGGAGAGTCATTAACCTTCTGCCCATCTTTTGGGATGCCCCTGATCTCCACAACTTCTCTAAGACTATGGAGAGTGGCTTCACAAAGATGTCAACCAAGTCTCTTAACACTCTGGAGTGGAAACTGTAATGACCCCTTGATTATGTAGGATCAAGCTCCTTTGCCAGGTCTTACTCCAACTCTTCTTTCATTGACAGTGGGTCTCTGTTTGCATTAAGCTTGATCCTTGCTCCCAAGGCCCAACACTGCTGGTAAAGACAGAGGTGAAGAAAGTGTTGAGAACCTCTGCCTTTTCAGAGCTGTTGGTGACTAATTCACCTCTGCTGTTTAACACTTGGCCAGTAATTTCCTTCTGTTTCTGTTTGCTGTTTAAGTATCTTTAGAACCCTTTCTTGTAATTTTTGACATCTCTGGCCAATTTAAATGCATGTTTGCACTTCTGTCATGTCTTATTTTACTTCTTATGAAAAAAAAATATTTCTTTCTTTATCCCAGAAGCTTTATGAATATTTTGGTGCTTAGCACTCAATGTTTATTTCTTTATTAAATCCTTTGAGTTTTGTAATCAGACAAATATGAAAGCAAGTCTGTTATCATGTATTTTGTTCCTAGTTATGTGACGCAGGAGGGTGATAGAGAAGCCATGATAAGAAAAAAAAATAATACAAAGAATGCCAACAGGTACCTTACCTGGACAGTCACTTCTATGTGATGGAACCCTTCACTGTAGTTTTGTGGGCTCCACTTCAGCACATAGAGAGGGCCAGACACATGATGTGCATTCCCCAGGTGAACTCCATCGATGTAGACTTTGACAGAGATAATGACAGAAGGAGAGAATGCCAGAATTCTAAGGAGTAAATAAAGAGCAAAAGAAACAGATTTGTTACTGGACTTGCAGGTATGTCGTTACTTCCTTAACAAAAAGTCCCCAAAGGTTACACTGCCTTGTATAAAGAGTTCAAAAGCTTTAGAAATTAAAACAGTGAAATATCTGTAGGTTAATGGTAACATAGTAGGTCTTTCCTACTGTTAAAAAAAAGTAGTTCTGTATAATACTACAAAAAAGAACAGGATAGAAAACTGGCTGTGGCACAGACAAAAAGGTGGCAGATGTTTTAAGGCCCTGGCAGAAATAATTTTAGAACTCCTGCTCCAAAACATTTGCTAACACAGGTGGGATGTATCCTCTAGCACACATAGACACATAACCAAATACTTGTAGATGGCTTCATAAAAAATTGCCAGGCTCTCTCTCTCTAAAGTCCTTTGTTCTTGGGAGTGGGGTTTTTTCCTTAGTTTTTTTTTTTTTCTTTTTGTCTTTTTTGCTAGTCAGAATATAACCTCTCAGAGTTTGCAACTGCATTTAAGACAAATGGAGTAGAATGCAATATTGATATTACAGATCTCAGATACCAAGAAATGTATTGTCACTTGGCAGTAGTGCTTATATTCATAGAAACAGTGATACTAATACAGGCTCAAAATATTGCACATGCAATTCCTTTCATTTCTGGTAATATGAATGGCATTCCAGAGCATGGTTTAGTCAAATGAAGGCATTTCATACAGTTATGGTGGACAATCCTCCAGAGAAATGTGAATTCTGAGAACAGCAGACACACATTAAAAAAAAAAAAGGGTTTGTGTATATACATATAATTAAATATTGTGAAATCAAGACAATACAGGGTACCTGATATGAGTGGAATAAAGAATTTTGACTAGTGGTTCATGAGTAGAACTGCTGTAAAGGAAGGATTTGGGATTGGTGATGAGAACTACAGGCCACTCTTCAAAGTTAAGATCTGCGAAACTGAGGAGGTCATGATCAAATGCGAGGATCCTGTATCTATAATTAAAGGAAAAAAATTTTGTTAATACAAACTGCTGTGTGAACAGCTGTTTTCCATGCTTCTCAAGTTCCTAAAGAACCTGGCTTTATTTTCCATTTATTCTCTTCTGTAGTTGATCTTACATTTTCCAACTCTGCTATATTAAATATACAGTTGCTTACCTCTGATGAGGTTAATTTTATTATAAATCATGGAAGCAGTATCCAAAGTTCCAAGTGTGAATTTTGCACATGAATCAGATAAATGAACATTACATTAAAGAACTCAAATGTAATGTACATTTGCACAGTGTCTGTGTAGGTACTCTAACTCAGGACGACACCAGCATTCTCTTCCCCTGTATTCATACCAGTATCTTTCTTTGGATTATTGCAGAATAAAAGCTAGTATGCTACTATACACTACACATAGCATCAGACACTTTTTGATATGCAAATAAGGTAACATTTCTCAGGTGGACTATTTCTGTGTCAAGAATTCCAACAGCTACTGCAGAGCATGGGTATTTTGAAGTAGTGATGCTGAACTTTACAATTTTTTTGTCTACATTTGAATACTAAACATACTATCTAGACATCCCCTTTTGAGTTTTTAAATATCAAGAATTAATAAAAAATATTTACTTTATTAGCACACTGTTGATACGGGGAAAAATCCCAAACATACATACAAGGCCTTTTTTTCAAAAGCACTAATAGTAGTAATAACCAGTCAGGCTGATCTCATGCTTCTTTCAAATTCACCACACAGAATAAAAGGGAATCACAGTACAGCAAGGTAGGTTTCATATATTAATTTGCTCATATGGGTTTTTCTTACCTCCTATTATCCATCCAGTCTCCCAGTTCAAGTTCCAGAGTGCCACCACGGTGTTGACTGTGCAAGACTGGCATCAGCCCACCCATTGTATGGAGATGTCCACATAAATAGGCTGTGGCAGAACTAATAAGAATTGTGATTATTTGGGTGCGAAGGAAATACTACGGCAGAAAATCTGAAAACTGAGAGATGAGCATGTGAAGACAGGCAAGAAATGTACTTCATGCTGAAAACATACAGGGTAAGAAGATCTTACCTCATTAGTGTTCGTATTCCAGGGGATGGGGAGATGATTGTTGAGGTGGGGTAGTGGCCAAACCAGATAGTATGGTTGCTGTGTAGACTTTCTGCTGCCATCAAAGACAGCTCTGCCATCTGATTCTGAAACACGCAGGTGACAAATCCATTTTGCTAAATAAATGTCTCACATGCATTATAACTTAAAAATGTAAACACTCTTATAGAAGAACACAAATCTTTCAAACAATTTTTCTATATAAAAAAAACCCCAAACCTCCAAACAAACCACTACAGAAATAAAACAGCCAGCAAAATGGAATGCAAAGACTTATACAATACCATGTTTAAAATCCCAAAAAAATTATAGGGTCTCTTAGGGCCTGGGCTGAGTGTGGCATCCACGCAGATGAATGAATAGTTCCCAAAAGAGGTAGTGTGGATGTAATGGAAAGAACCATCTCTACGCCAGGCAGAGTATTTCCTAACAAAATAAGATGGAAATACTCTTGTTAGCAAAGCTTGTAGCCATGACAAGCGTACATTGCTTTCTCTCCTTCCACTGACAACAGGTAATTTTACTATTTCTGAGCTACAAAATTGAAATGCTTTTGATACTTCATGCTAGATGGGAGTTGTACATATCTTCCACTGGTAAAGATATGACATTTCAACTAACAGTACCACCTAAATTGTTCTATTAAGGAATAAATTCTGTAACTAAAATGATTTTGAGTTAATCTGAGAATCACTAAAATTCATCAAGTTTAGGTTGGTTTTTAAAAAAAATTATTTGGGGGTTTTGGGGTGGGCATTTTGTGTGCATTTGGGTTTTTTCAGTTGTTTTAGTTTTGTTTTATTCCCTGCATGATTTGTGGAAGCCAAAACATTCCTGAGTTCAGATGAGTATAATTTGAACAGAGCCACCCAAAAATCAGTTCATGTCCCTGTCTCTCCACCAATTAGAATAATAAAATTGCCAGAAAGGTTGACCTGAATAGAATATAAGACGATATATTAAAAACACGTTTTCCATACTTCTGATGCCATAAAAACCCTTTCACAATATTTAACTTAACATTATCTCTGTGAACATCATCAACTTCAATACAATTTCTTCCTTTAGTCCCACTTTGAGTATGTGTAACAGTTGATTAATCCTATCCTAATTCTGGGAACATGCAGTAGGAACCTATGTTTTTGTGTAAAAATATTGTATTTAAATATAACCCACTGCCCTCTTTAATTTTAATGCATAATGAAAACCAGAATGTGGTGTTGAATAACTGTTCTTCCTAGCTTCTATTTTTATTTCTGCAAGCAATTTTTATAATTTTAATATTTTACAGTATTATTTATATTTTTATATATTGAAAAAAACAACTCCATTTCACTCTTCCATCTTCTCTCTCCTAGAGTGAAAATTTTGTAGACATTGACAGATTTAACACACTCAGTTACAAAACACAGAAGGATAAGAGATAAGAAATCTGCACAAACAAGTCTCTATTTTCTCAATCAATTCTGCTCTATTAACTGACAATGCAAAAGACAGAGGGAATAGTAGATATGATCCTGGGTTATAGGAAACTCAGTGAAAAAGCATATATGTAGTAACTGAAAACAGAATATTGTTTAGTTAATTTGACCTTGAATATAGCTGCATGTATGGTAAATAAAAGTACCTGTAATAATTCTGAACACTATCCAGACGTGGAATGTTGAATGAATCTGTAAAGGAGTAAAAAAGGAAATAAGAAAACTTTCAGATCAAATTGATCATTGGACCCTGTATCTAATGTTGAGATAAAGCATTCTCAGCACGTGCTGAAGAGCTACTTTAAAAAAAATGCATGATTGACAAGCACACTAACTGTGCAGAGGAAACATTATATACTCAAAGCAGTTAAATGGGAATAGTTTTCTCATTCAAGTTTCAATTCAAAGATAAAGGCATTGTGCAAATATAAATTGTTATTTAGCAGCCAAAAACTAAACCTGTCTCCATTTTGACCACAGAGCTTTTCAAAAGCTTTTTTGGACTGGTTGCATGCTCTGTAAGAAAGACTTAACTTATTCATGGAAAATAAAGTAGTCATAGCATTAGAGAATAGTGTGTGTAGAACAGACATCAGCTTGGGGAGGTCTGCACTGCAACAGTTCTACTTCTCCATTAATGCTGGTAACAGAAGCCTAATAGGAAAATGAGTATATGTGACAAAGTGTGCACTTTCTTCCCCCCAGTGCAGCTTCCTGTACAGCCTGCTCATACAGCCTAAATGATTGTCAGCTTGCGTTTGAATGCTCACAGTGTGGCAACAGCTGAAGCATCTAAACTCCCATGACTTCTTTCTATTCAAAAGAAACCAAATTTCCTTTAGCTGCTGGACATGTGACATCTTTTAAATGTAAACCTGTGAGGCGGAAGTCTATGAAAAGTAAATTGAAACCATTTCTTCAGTATGGTAAGATTACAGTTTGCTCCTCCATTAAATAGTGTGGTATATAAAATAATGACGTGGAAACTAACATCTGAAGTCATGTTCTACCACTTGCCAGGTAAAAGACTCTTACTTCTCTGGTACTAAAACTCACTCCAGTAAGAGCTTGTAAACAAAGTGTGTCCTCAGTAGACATGTGGAAGGTAAGCCCTTCTCCTGATTCATGAATTGCACTAGTGAGTACTAACACTTTACCTCTATATTCTGTGACCTGCAATCACAGGAAAGACAGAAATGTTTCATTTTCTTCTTACCATGATTTCCTTTGATGTCTATCCATTTGGTTTTTTCCATGACCCTTGATCTCTTCAGGATTGACTGATAAGTTTTCCACTCATCTTCTACCTGCTCAGATCCCAGTTTATCTCTTGTCTTAGCATCTGTCAGATCACCTGAGAGTGTACAAAGGTGAGATATAACTAGAGGCCTACACAGCTTATACAAATACTGTAACTAGGCAAGCATGCCATCTCTGCCTCCAAGTCTAAGTAGCTGCAGGCCTGGGTGCTGTATCTGGTCCACAATATCAAGGTAAACTCCTTCTAATGCAGATGCAGCAGCCTCATCAGACATCTATTGACCACATCACTGCAGCGCTTTCACTAATTAGATAAGTAACTCTCTGTAGAAACAAAACTCCAGGTCTAGCATTAAGATTCTAAAGCCTTGCACACAGTAATGGCTTGGTCTTTTAGATTTCCTTGTCAAAACTTAATCTATTTCAATAGCAAGCTGTCAAGTGAAGTGGCAAGGTTTATTTCACCTCTCTTGGTATGATATGTTCAAATGGAAACCAACAATAAAATCTTGCATTAATTCACAAGTTAATGTATTTTGTATGAATTTCATACAAATGAGCAGGGATTGTTCTGAGAGAGGAACTGTATCCTAGTGGCTAACCACAGACATTGCTCACTTCTGTAATTTCAAACACAAAGAATGTAGAATCATGACCGGGACGAGAGGGAAGGTGGTTGCTAGCAAGGGCTAAGATGCAGCAACACCTATTGGGAAAGCAATAGCTATCTTGTGTGATTGTGTCTGTTACATATAGACCACACTAAATTCACTGAAGAAACTGAATGCTGAAGAAAATAATAATTCCTTTGTTGAGAGGTTATTCTTTTCAGCTTCTAGCAGTCTTCCTTTAGCTGCAATTCAATTTCCATTGCTTAAGATACCTGAATGTTTAAAGTTCTCTCTTGAGATCCTAGAACTTTGCCTATTTGCTTTGACAGTACACTCAACAGGAAATTCACACTTTTCAATTGCTTACCTGTTGCTAGAACAAGTGCTGGCTGAATTACATCAATTGTTTCAGAACAGAATTTTTCGAATTCAGGAGCTCGTTTGGGATCTCGAAATTTGCTGATATGAATATCTGACACCTGCAAAAGAGAAGAGTGAAACACTGCCCAAAGTAGAGGGTTATTGCTACCCAAGCTGCTCTGCAAAGCCAAGTATACATAAGAATGCATCATAAGAGCAGTCACAGTGATTCATGTCAGTGTAAGGGATACAGGGAGAAACAGAAGTAGGTGACTAAGGGAGAAGGAAAGCAGAACAAACAAATGATATTGCAACTCTAACCCCTAAAATCACATTTACATCAAGAAAATCTCCTTAAAACTAAGAGAATACAAAAATATGAGGAAATACTTGGGTATCCACAGTAAATGGTGATGACTGCAAGTGGCCTGTTGCCTTTCAAATTCTGTGAGTTTCTGTGCAATACAGTGGTTTTGCTGCAACTAAGAAAACAAAGTAGTTCTGCAAAGCAATAGGTTAAAGCTATCTAGTACTTAAAATGTACTGAAAATTTGTTTTATACCTGTTGTGACATTTCCAGTAGCTGAGTGGAAGGATTTTTAACATTCTATCCACGCATTTTATTGGATCAAACAAGTGTGTTTAGATACCATTCCATGTGCCTTCAAGAAGGCAAAGATTCCCTAAGACATGATGATATGAAAGACGCTTTTCATTTCTGAGTCAGTCAAAGCCCTCACATCAGAAGAACTGTTTGGGGAGAATAAGAAATATAAGCTTTTTCTGTTTTTTCACACTGTGGCTTTTCAGTACTGTACAAAAAAAAAAAAAAAACAAAAAAACCAAAACCCTTGTGTGAATGGTTTCAATTCCACTTTCCATTCTAGTTCAGTCAATCAATTAATTAATTGCCCTCCTTGGTCTGAACAAATGGTATTTGATTCTCAAAAAGCAGTAAGCAAATGCTCATCTGACAATATCACTTGGAAAGAAAAGCATTAACTTTTACATTCAGTTTAATAAACCTGTTCTTGTAGAGCTTGTTGTTTTTGAAAAATCCAGATAAAATATATTGGAGAAAAATTATCTACTTATACTTATTCAGTCATCTGTATACAAGGAAAACACTACCTGAATATAGTTTTTAAATTCTGCTTAGGAAAACTCCCCATTTGGAATGACATGGAATTTTTGCCTAGATCAAAATTGCATGCTAAAAAAGACAAACACTTTTAGATATAACTTTATCTTCACTTTCATTGATGCATTCAAACTAGTGTGAGATAAAGAACACAGCAAAACTACCTTGATACATCAAACCTCATTTAATCATAGACAAGGATACAGCTTGTTGTGCTTCTTTTCAGCCTGTGGATTTGCAATTAATTTATCTCAGCAATCAAACAGAGAAAATTAAAACTTAACTTACTCAGTTTTCATTCTTGAGAAAAAAGTCTGACAAAAAATCTTACTCCTGCTCTACCAATTACTACAGCAAATGTAGATTTCCAACCTTACAGCAGAGAGTGGTATGGAAGCCTAATTTCCTACAATGACCTTCCCACTTTTCTTCCCTATGAGTTTAAGGTGTAAAAAAAGGTTCAACTTGTAATTTCTAAGAGTTACAGTGTCCTGGGACTTCTGAGAGCTGGGACTAAGTTTCTCTCATCACTAACAGCCATTACATATGAAGATTTCAGAAGTGGAGCTTCTTCCCCCCTTTTTTTTTTTTGGTAATTTTTTTAAAAATTAATTTCAGATGATATCCCAATAAGAAGAAAGAGAGTGGGCAAGATGAAAAGCTTGTAATGCTTTTATTTACTTTCCAAAATGTAGGTGAAAGCTCATTTGCTGCTCTTTCCCTTCCCTCTGACTGATGTGGATATTTGGCCTCTTATTGCATCATAGGCAGTTACCTTCATTAAAATGTGTTGGGAGAGATTTAGGGGTGAGAAGGAATCACCATCAACACTCCTTATCTAACAAGGATGTGGTTCAGGAAAGGCAGGCATTAACGAGGGAGAATTACAAGGTCTAGAGCAACAGTAGAATGTATTCAGCTGACAGAAACAGGAGAAATAATTATATACTTGTCAAATACTGAACTAGAGTGTCTGGCAGTGGGTAAGAGAAATTCTGCTACAATAAATGGATGAGCCATTAATAGAAGATCAAAGTAGAAAGATTGTGATTTAGTTCAGTTTAAGAAGAGATAGCCCTGTGTATGGGAAGAAAAACAAGGCAGGAACTGCTGGAGGCCGAACTGACCATCTTGAGCTCTATTCAGCGACCTAGGCTAGACCTATGGAATCACCAGGGAGCCTGAAGCCAGTTTCCCATAACATTATCAGGCACAAGGCTGGATTTGGTGCTTTATTAGTTTCCAAGTTTGGTCAATGATAAAGCAGCTGTTAAAGGGCACGTCTGAAAGAGAACACAACCACTTGAAAGCAAAGCCAAGTTTCAAATTAGCTGTGCTATGACCTATCCTTGGGAGAGCTCCACTTGAAGTGACATAACCAGAGAGAACACAGTAAGAGAAACATGGGCCTGTGCATTGCTTGTCAGTATAGCTCTGCAGCAGCTATATGCTGCTGTATCTGACCCTTCATAGGACAGCAGCGCAGGATAGGGGTTTTCCTTACATTATTTCAAGCACGTCTCTTGATAATTGTACTCTGCAGTAAAAATAAGCCTTAAGTCACTTAAGGAAAAATTAACGAAAAAAAATTACACCACCAATTAGAGAGAACCAAAGGACTTATATATGCCAGCTCATCCACTAAGAGCACTGCTTGCAGCTAATAAAGTCAGGCAGAGTGTTCTTGAGATTGAGAATGAAAACAAAACAGTAAAAGCTATTTGTTAGAAGGAAATGCACAGCAATCCCTGTGACATCTCAGCCATAGAGTAACTACAAATACGTAAACACTTTTGTGGCTAGCTCTACACTAAGTACTTTGGGAACGCTCTGGGGAGAAGAGTCACAGAAGAGGCCACAGAAGCCCTAAGACGTGACAATTTCCTTCCAGGACTATGCCAGTCAACTTGGATTTTATGTTTAACCTGGAAACAAAGCTTCTGAATACTGGCATAGTACCTTCTACTGCTATAAATCAGTAAAGCTATTTTCTCAGCCACACAACTTTCTGAGGTTTTGGATGGGGACAGGGACAGGCAGAGCCTGCATTTCTCCCCAGGATATTAGATAATACCACACCAGGTACTGATGCAATATACAGGATAGCGTAATAATTAGGTGATTTTTAATTACCCACTTCCACTACACACATCTTGTCTGATAAGGAAACTTCTCTGTGCAACTATCCAGGAGCCACTCTGGCAGTCACACTCACACCACCTGGGACTAGGGCCCCTTCACAGCTACCCCCACACTCACAGTCAGGCCAGGTTTCCTTACCAGCTCAGCTCCAGGTTTCCCATAGCTCAGAGTTCGGGATCATTAAAATAATTTCATCTTCGTGCAGTAATTATCGAAATAACAGTTCGACTTGGGTACCTCTGAGGAGGTGCCCCAAAGAAAGGAATCCCCGGTCTTTTATACACTCAGAGTCTGAGAGCAAGCAAGTCTGGGGGTGATGGGCTCCCGCCGTCTCTATGTGCCCGGTCCCCTGGCCGGGCCACAGGTCCCGGTGCCCTGTGCTCTTCGCTGTGCGAAGGATTTCACAGGTCCCGGCCTTTCGCCTCGGGCTCCCGCCCCCAGAGCTCAGGCTGCAGCTGCACATCGAGCTGCCGGCACTCAACACATTCCTCAACGCGACCTTTCGGGCAGCCTGGCCGAACACCTGTAACCTGGGCTTGGCTGCGCGCCTCCGCCGTGCCCGCCGTGCCCGCGGCTCGGCCGCCCCTCGCCCGCCCGGCCCCGCTCACCTGCACGACCCAGAGCAGGCTGGCGGCGGCCGCCCCGGGCGCGGGCTGCGGGGCCCAGCGGCGGCGCGGCCCCGGGGCCGGCGGCGCCCCCGGCGGCCCGTACCAGTCCAGCAGCAGCGCCACGGCGGCCGCCGCCAGCAGCCCCGCCGCCAGCCCCAGCATCCTGCGCCGCGCCGCCACCGCGCCCGCCCGGCGAGCCCTGTGCCGCCAGCCCCGGCACTTCCGCGTCCTCCGCCCCCGCGGCCGCGCCGCCCCGCGCTCGGCGGCGCTTGGCTCGGGGGACCGATGTCAGCGGGGCAGGGGGTGGGCGCTCCCCTTGTACTGGAGGTTCTATCCCGCGAGGCCGGGGGATTCCGGCTCTCCCCCCGCTGCCCTGAGCGTTCCTGCTTTCCCCTCCAGCCGCAGGGGTGCCTGGAAATGCCCGGGTTAAAGCAGAAGGAAGCCCAGGCGTACGAAGAGATCCGTATCTCAGCCTGCTTCCTTACAAATACAGCATGTAAACTTTCGCTTTTTCTCGTTACGGTATTATAATTCTACCTGCTCGGAAGTCTAGGCAGTTGACCTATTTTGCTCCTGACAGAAGTCTTTTTATGGTATTTTGAACATTTTAATATATATATGTACACACACCATTTAAAACCTTGCTATAGTAACTGAATAGTTTCATAATTGCTAAACTATTCTTTGCTATCAACTCCGTTTACTAACTGCTGCCCATTTACTGTTGAGATTTGTTTTCTTCCCATCTTAAGTATGAGTTTAGGTGAAAAAGCTTCTGTCACTTCACATCACTCTGTTATTTATCATAATAAAACCACTTCAGGTATTAGAAGTTTCTAATTCAGTATTATTTAATTGTAATTATATTTTCTCATGTAATTTGTCATAGGACAACGATTTAATTTTTAGCATTGATAATAATTAGCACTGACTGATCGAGGAAAAACATTTTTCAGATCAGTTAGACTGCATTAATATGACACGTCTTTTTAGATGTTCTTCATAATTTAGTTACTCTTTTGCAGGACTTCATGTATGTTTGCTTTGGTTTTTTTCAGCTGCCTTTCATCTTGCTTGTCTACTCTTCCCCCCCAACAAAACACCCTGAAGAAATGTTTCTAAATAAACATCAATCAGCAATCCTGGTAATCTTCAGGAGTAATCTGGAGAACTAGGGCTTGCTCACTTTCTTCCTGAAGGTCTACCATTTTATTTTAGCTCTAGCAAGGCTAGAATTATTTTGTCTGTATTAAAATTGATCTGAATTCCTGTTTCGTTCTTCTTCTTTCCTCTATTACTGTAGTATCCATGGAGATCTTGGTGTTTGGTGCCATTTCTCCCTGGGCAATGGTGCCAACTTGTTTTTTTAAGAGGTTTACTGACACCTTCTTTGCTGTCTTTCAGCGCATGTGGGTTCCATTTTTTAAAATAATATTTTTTTAAAATAAGTCTAACAGTAAATCCTGTTCCATTAAAGCAGTGACTTACATTAGCATAACTTCTAGAAGTCCCACAGTAAAGCAAACCCCCACTGATAGTTAGCTAAAAGAGATAGCCAGGCAAGCTGCTTGCCTTGCAGCACAGGGGGCTGCAGGCAGCCCTCCTGCTGCTTGACTGGGTTTGTTGCTGGAATTCTGCCTTGCTTCTCTTGCTCGACTACATTGGAAGCTGGATTATACAATTGCTAGTGTTGATGCCAAAACAGGTGGAGGACTCCAGTAATTACAGTCCAAACTTGGTTGTTGTGCAAGCGACACTTCTGGTTAGCGGGCAGCTGTGCTATTGGGAAGGATTGGGCACCAATCAGCAATACGAACAGACAGAACGAGATGAGATTGTTAATTTTCTCATGGCAAAATTCACTTTTTATTTTTTACACCTCATACCTAAACCTGTCTCAGTGATGGTGATTTTTAACTGACAGATTTCAGTAATATAAAGAAGTCTGCAGGACTTCTTAATATGATGATGACTGGTAGCTATGGCAGAGGAACTACATTCAGATGTTCTGAAGATATAAGAGAACTTTGAGAGTACTTGTGGCTGGGTGCAGCACAAAAAATCATTGGGGATATACCTGAAAAGATCACCTGTAAGCTTTATCCCATCCATACTGATAACTGAAGAAAGTGGAAAAGCTGCTTGGAGGCTTGAAACAGGAAGACTACTGTGGAAGGAGGCAGTCTTCCCAATATCCAAGCTATCAGGCATTCAAAATGGACCCCAAGATCCAATGCTATGGCTATTTGCCTATTTCCTCAGCCTTAGGAAGGTGGAAACACACAGAATTGTGCAACTGGACTGCAACAATCTGGAAAACTTCCAGGAATGCATAGGCCATGTTTGTCACATATCAATCAAGATCCTAAACGCCTTAATCTGCCAAATCTGCTAAGCACTCAGAACAGTTACGATATGCTGTTGGAAGGAGGAAGAATTTTGATCTTGGAGATCTTTTGGTCTTTAGGCACTTGCCTTGCTTCCTACACCAAGTTAATAAAATTTTACCTTTGCTTAGCCCATGTGGGAGCCACATGGAAGTGACTTTGCACCTGTGTAGCTGAAATTACTTGTGCTATTATCTTGCTAGCAATGAGGGGACATAGTCCCCTGCACCATGGGAGGTTTAGGTTAGATATTAGGAGGAATTTCTTCACCGAAAGGGTGGTTAAACATTGGAATGGGCTGCCCAGGGAGGTGGAGTCAGTGACCCTGGAGATGGTTAAGGAAAGACTGGATGTGACACCCAGTGCCACGGGCTGGATGATAAGGTGGTGTTCCGTGGTAGCTTGGACTCGATGATTTCAGAGGTCTTTTCCAGCCTAACTGATTCCGTGGCTCCGCGATGCAGGGCGCGAAGCGGGCACGGTTGAAGTGCCTGCAGGGATCCGCGCAGCTCCGCACACCGACCAGCCGGAGCTCCGCGCGCCGTCCGAGCCCGGGCCGGGCTTTGCGCGGCCTCCGCAGGAGGCGCTGCCGAGGCCCCGCGCGGCGGCGGCTGCGCGCGGGGCGGGCCCTGGGCCGCGGGCGCAGCGCCCGGTGACGGCGGCGGCTCCTTCCGGGCCGTCACGGCGCCGCCGGCCGCGTCCCTCGCTCTCAAAATGGCGGACGGAGCCGACAGAGGTGCCGCGGCGGGCGGCCGGGCCGCCGCGCAGGCCCCGGAGCGAGCTATGGTGAGGCTGCAGACCGGCGCCGCGCCGCGGTTCCCTTTGCCCGCCCTCGGGGGCAGCCCGTGCCCTGCCCGCGCTGCCGCCCGCCGCTCGGCCGAGCAGGGCTGGCTCTCCGCGGCTGCCGAGCGGCGCCGTGGAGGGCCGGGACGCGCCGCTCTGCACCTGCCGTAGCCGGCGGGAGGCTGCGGCACCACCCGGGGCGCGGCCTGGGCGCCGGGGCCGGAGCGGGCGGCCCGGTGCCCCCGCACGGCGGCGGGCGCGGCTGCGCACCCGCTCCCGGCGGCTGCGCTGGCTGCGGCTCCGGGGCTCCCGCCTGTGCCGCGGGAGCGGAGAGCCAGCCCTGCCCCGGGCCCGGCCAGCCCTGCCCCGGGCCCGGCCAGCCCTGCCCCGGGCCCGGCCAGCCGCTGTCACGGGCCCGCGGGGAGCGGTTTGGCTCAGTTCCCCGCATCTCTCAGCCCCTGTCCTGGGTCTTCTGTTGACACCTAATGACGGAATTGATTGAGGTCAAACTTTGGAAAGCTTCAGAGCCGTCCTTTAAACGTTGTACTGTAAATGTGCATTTTAACCATAGTCCTTTACCTTTTTTCATTAAAGTTGACTCTACTGTGGAACAGAAAAGGCAGAGTAACAAATTACTGTTCTACAGAGTGTGTGGAGCAGCAAATAGTATCATTTAGAAAGAACATAGTATAATTTAGAAGGAAACAGTTGTTTGTTGAACGGGAGCATTGTTTCTTTTTTCGTTCTGCAAAATAATTGTCTATGGATTTAATATTTTGTTATTGAACACAATTTGTTGTTGACCCTGTCTAGTGGTAGCATGTAAGTGACTTCTGTGGTTTCCTCCACAAACTTGTATAGTGGATTGCTATGTTTGAAACACTTTATCTAGAGCAGTTTAAAACCCAAAAGCTGACAAGTTAAGAAAGGAAGGCAGATGGATGTGTATGAGGCACTTTACATTTTATGTTCTATTTCCTGTAACAGTCTGCACACATAATATAGTTTTGATACTGTTGACTGCCTGTGTTTAAAAGTTGGGTGCTGGCAAGCCTGTAGAATAGCTACTGTTTACATGATGCTACACACCACTAATAAAAATAGAAAGATGTTTACTCATGGAGCTTGTCATGCATGCGGCAGCAGTAAGCCAACAAAGATTATTCCTTGTACCCTTCTCAGAATCATTAGCAATGTCCCTTTAGTCATGGGCTTCATTCTTAAGTGCTGTATATTTCTGTAACTGAAACAGGCCTATGTGTGGATTTTTTTAAAATCAGGAACAACCTGATTTTACAATAGGAAAAATGTGATTTGATTGCATAGTGAGTGTCAAAAATTGCATCCCGAGACAGGCGATTTCTTAAGCTTGTGAGCTGTGCATAAAGCCAGTGGTGCTGAGGGTAATAGTGGCAATCAGCAGCAAAGCAATGCAATCAGCCTTTCATTAACTGGGGACTTAAGAGGCTGAGTTAGCCCAAGCAATCCATGAAACTAAGAGAGAATTGTTGAAGGGATCCTCAGCTGCTCAAAGGTGATGCTGGTCCGCTAAGTTGTCTTAATTTTTTGTGTGATTTCAGCCAGTTGAAAGTGTCTGGACCAGAATTATCGTTATTCCGAGGAAGGTAGTTGGCTATCCAGACCATGTTGCTTGCCATACAGCCAAGCAAAATGCAGGGATTTTGACAGCAAGTAGTGGCTGAGGATGTGATATAAAAAGGGAGAAGTAGAGCTTGGGATATGTACTTAGGTTGTGTCTGACAGCATTTGTGATGTTAGACAGCAAACCTGGCTATATTGATGGTAGAGACACTTGTAATCTGGAAACAATACACCCAATTTTTTGCTGTCTTGAAGATGGTACTAAGTAGGTAGTACTAATATATCCTGCCTGACATGTGCTTTCACTGTGCAGAGCTATTCTGAAAGTTACTGTGGTGCTAGAATTGGAGTTGTGTGGAATGGAAAGAGCTGGTTAAATAGGGTGAGCTTTGGCCTCACTGAACTTGTCAAAGCTGTCTCAGTGTCTGAGCAATCAGACAGACTCCTACTCCTCTGTTGGTCTCTGGCTTTGGGTGCCATTGGCTGCAGTGCAGCACTACATCTGGCTGCAAACCTTCCCAGAGTGCTGGGTGCATGGTGCAGGTCACCTGAATGATTCTGCAGGAGCCAGCCTGATTCTGGAGTGGATAATGGTGACTCAGGTAATAAACTCTTCTGCACCCAGCCCAAGTCAGTGGTGTCTTCTCTGCATTTATCTGCAGCGCTTCAGGTTGGATGACTGTGGTTGAAAATACTTAACTTGATGTTTCACTGCATTAGTTGGAAGTCAGGTCCTGTCTGTTCTTCTGCTTCTTCATAGTGGCTGTATTGCTTCCAGAGCTGCCCTGGAAGAGAGTGGGTTGAATTTAATGCTGATTAAGTAGTAAACCTTGTCTACTAAACTCGAGTTTACTTTCTTTCCTTTCCCAACAGCATCCACAGTTTACTTGGCTGGCTGATGGGCTGAACTTGGCTTGTCCAGTAGTTGGCTAGCAGGCATTGCTGGTGGCCTGACAAAAACCAGCTTTGCAGGCTGGATCCAGCCCTTGGTTGGCTGTCCATTTGTATTCTAAACAAATTCCGGTTTGACTCCTGCCTGCTTTTGCGTCTGCTACCTGGGGCAGGGCTTTGATATTAAGCTATTGCAAGGATTTAAAATTTACATGGAATCTTCAAATTGTCACATATATGTACCTTCTCAGTAATATTTGTGAAGAAAAGGGATTTTTTTAAAAGGTTCTTTCTTTTGCCATTAGTCAGAACCTAACAAAAGCTGAGATATAAGTGGTGTAGTGGTGTACAGGAAGAGAAAAGCTTATATTATTAGGATATTACCTTTAAAGACAGGAAAATTCCAAATTTCAGTTTCATAATGTAAAGTATGAAGCAGGCACTTGTGCATTTTAGGATATTTCAGATCTTTTGTGTCATTCAGTGCTGTAACATAGTTGAGAAAATGTATATGAGGAGACCTGCTACTGTAGATGTGTAATATGGAGGGGATATTCATATTCATGTGCAGGTTATTTCTTGAAATTAGTGAAATCTGAGTCTGGC